TAACCTTCTTATATATAAATGGGCCTGTTTTATTCTGAACAAGAACTGAGAAGATAAGTAAGAGAAGATTAATAACTTCTAAACCAGTAATTCACATTACAGAAGTGACGGTATGAGCATTTTTACACTACATAAATCATAAAGCCAGTGGCATCCATTTTTCTACGTGTGCATGTCCGTGTTTGTCGTTTGATCACGTAAAATCGTTAAAGTTCTCAAACACATTAATGTTCGTACAAGGCCTTACGTTCAATATCACCACTATTATAATAACGTTTGAAAAGACAACTTATGCTAATTATTAGGATGTAGGATGTAGGACGATTAACAGAAGAAGGAAACGTGAAGTAATTTGAAGTACTACCCCGTCATTATCCTGGAGGGACTGAGGAAAAACACAAAAATCTCAGTATGGATAGCCAGTCTCCGGTTCGTAATATGAAACCAGGGTCTCCCGAATATAAAGTGCTAACCACTCGGCACCGACGTTCGTGTCCTTAATATTGTATTCGGAACGTACACGATAATCTATAAATACACTAAAATTCACAAATTACACAATACAACGAAGTATGCAGTGAGAAATCTAAAAAAAATTATTCAATCAGTTTATATTTTGTCGTAAATCCACATAGAAGCTTAAGCCTACCTTATAAATTGTTAGGACACTAACCCTAACACAGTCATTCTATGCCACGGTCAGAAACGAAGATGATGATGTTAATATATAATAAGACCGACACACTAAACCAAAAAAAATTAAACATTCTCTCACGTCCTGCCTCGTCATGTGTTGACACTGAACACGATTGTGTGTAATCTAGTGACGTTTCGAAACATGTGCTGATACACAGCAAGCGAACTAAATCTAACTGTAAATAGGCTTGTAGGTACGAGGTGCGATCAGAAAGTTTCCAGACTTTGTCAATAGAGGGCGAACCGGATGTAGTACGAGCTTCTGCCGCTAGGGGGTGCGGCCTACATTCATAGTGAATCAGTGTGCCAGCCGGCATCATCGAATTAGCATTTGTTTCTTAGTTACGGGTGTTTTGGTAGTGCATTACACCGACCCTCCTGCGATTTCGGAATGGCGTGTGCATCAAATTTTGCCAAAGACTCGCCAAAACGGCTACGGAAACCTATGAAATGCTAAAGCAAGCATTTGGGGAGTCCGCAATGGGTCGTGCACAAACTTTTGTGTGGCATTCACGTTTTAAAAAGGGCCGAACCTCTGTCCATGATGACGAGCGTTCTGGACGACCATCTTCGAGCACAACGCCCGAAAATGGTACGAAGATTCGGCAGGCCATTCACGAAGATCGACGTCGTACCATCAACGACTTGTGCGACATTGCTGGGATAGGCTATGGGACCTGTCAGCTGATTCTAAAGGAAGAACTCCACATGCGACACATCCTGTCTGAGGACCAGAAGCAGAATCGACTTCTCGTTTGTCAGGAGCTCAAAGATCTTGCAACA